CTCTCGGCTATCGCCTCGAGCGACTCTTACGCTTCTTTCGTGCTTAGCAACCCCTCGCATGCATCCATAACTCAATAGTGTACGTTCTGATGTTTACCATTTGTTAATTAGAAAGAAAAGTAGGTGCTTGACTGTTGAAAAAGGTTTTTAGAAAGAGGAGAAAAAGAGCTCAAGCTACTGAAATTAATCCTTCGCAGTCAGATCAAAATGCATATTCTCGATACTGTTCTCTATAGGTAAATTTCCTTACATGGTATCAAGGATCAATTAATCCAGTTTCTTTAGTCTATGATCATTTCCTTTATTCCTGTGGTTATGACCTTGATGTGATTCTGTGGTGATGTTGTAAGAAGAAAGTAAATGCGAGTCTCTCAAGGGTCAAAGCCACAGACTTCTGAATTGTAGCTGCAAGATTCCTCATTCTACCATACGGAACAAGCATCCTCTTCATGCATTTTGTCTATCTCATCCCTGAGAATTTGAAATAGAAGACTTGCTGTTTACAATGTAACATTTGAACAAGGACAGAAATGAAATTTAAGCTAAGTTCATTTTTCTCAATGTACCAAAAATATCGAGAATGTGCAGAATTTTCTGGGGCACCTTTTCGGCAAAACTCTCATATTTGTTAGTTTTGCATTTGATTTTAGCAGAGTTCATAGAGGGAACTATTAACTCTGATTTTAGCTTGTCCGAATATAGATTGGAAAGCTCCCACAGGGCATTAGAAGAGAGCAATATACCCCGTACCCACCCCTTCTAATAGCCATTTCCGCCACCACACCTCCGATCTGTCCCACAATGCTCGTGGACGCACAGTGGGCAGGTCGCCATCTTGGGTTTGCAGAAGCTTCCGCGATTTCCTCCACGGAGTAAGTTTTGCTACTTTCGTTAATTCGTCTGCCGGAGCTCTTTTATTTTTGGAGGGATTCAGCGAAGAAAAAGATGACGGGACGTCAACCTGCCTGTGTCATCGACAATGGAACGGGGTTAGTGAAAATAGACGCAGTTAAATCTGTGTATGTAATCATCATGTAAAGCCGAACTATTTCCTGCTGAAAAATTGACATCGCTGTTGTTTTTTTCGATACTCGGTGTTTTTTGTTCTCTAAAGTTTAGTTCGAGGCTACCCTATCCCGTTTCGATCGCTTGGTGTAAACAACATCAACTTTGTGAAATCTTTGTTTCTACTGATAAATTCCTTTTTGGGTTGAGTTGATCAGTGGTTGAAACTGACTGCAGAGATGTAGTGTTAAATGTGTGACTTTAATTTATTTTTTTTAGTGGAATCATCGCAAACAGATAGTAACACCTCTTCTTGCTTTTGATTAAGTCTTCTCAACCATGGAATGATCGAGTTAAAGTAGTCTACAACAAACATACACAAATAACCAAACGCGAACAGGGCCTAGCTAAGAGAGAAAAAGTTTTAAGGCCTTCAGAGCGTGCTGTAAACGAATAAATGAAAGTATAAATGAGAAAGCCTAAGGGCAGAAAATGAAAATATCATTTACAACTGTACCAGTCTGGTGATAAATAGGCAGCCAGCTCTATTTGGTATGGCACTCGTCCTTTTAATGCTGATACAGTTTTCTTGTCTAAACTTTCATTCACTTCTGGATGATACTGGATCAGTTTTTCCCTAAACCATACCATAAAGAGTGCAAGAGATACTTACATGTGACATAGATAAAGATGTTGTAAATCCAGTCAGTGTCCTGTCAGGCTAATGTGCTTTGGAAGCCCACATGATTTCATTCTTACTATATAGACCAGTTGGGTGGGACCTTTATAGTAGCTATCAGGGTTGTTTTAAGGCAAGTAATAGGTGTATTTATTACACGACTCAGGCAGTCAGAGGGCCAATAACTAAAATCAACCAATCAAAATGCTCTATTGCCGGTCAATATTTTCTCAGTATTGGACTGGGCACTATCCCGAATGGTCCCGAATGATACGGCACTTGTGTCCCTTTGAACTTCAGTAGTATAATAAATCTCTTATTAACTAAGCTTGCTCGGGACCGTACTGGAAGAATATCGGCCCTCGGTCTTTTTTGTATACTTTCAAAACCTCAGGCCAATATTCTCAAAACCTCAGGCCAATATTCTCCCAGTACGCCGTCGCGCTTGGTTAATAAGATATATGTTCTGAACAGAGGAGGTAGATGAATCAAATTATGCTTGCGTACCCAGCATTGGCTGTTTCAAGGCAAAATGATCTTCTGGAGGAGCATGCTCCCCCAGAAAATTTGAAACTTTGAGACATGATTTCTAGCACTCTTTGACATAATAATATCAGTAATTTTTTTAACAGGGTATAGTTAAAAAAATAACCCATTTTCTCTCTTTAATCACAATTCACGAAGTAGCCAGCACAAAATGGTCTGATAGCCAACAGGTTTCTGCCACTCACTAGCTTCTAATGACAACCTTGAGTTACCGAGGGTGGGATGATTGCAAGGCTTTAAGGCCACTCGTGGCATGGAAAACTTACATTTTGGAAAGTAACCTTCAAAAGCCTTTCAGTCAGTAAGATGAATAAAAAAGTGGGAAAGCAAAGATCAGCAGGGATTTTCTTTATCATACCTTCACTTTTCTGCTTTTTTTGCTGGGCATGATAAGCTGAGTGGCTGGAAGGAGCTTTTTCGAAAAGGTGCGCCAGTAGCAACCAAACAATTCCAGGTTACCTTCCTCTTCATTTTTCAGGTACACAAAAATGGGATTTGCTGGAAACACAGAGCCCCAATATATTTTGCCAACAGGTAACTATCTGATGAGATTTCTTTGTACCTTAAAAAACACAAATCTGGACCGGGTTGTCTAATGTTGGTTTAAAATAACCCAGAGTTTAGTGTGGAATCTGATTTCAGATCTGAAAGCTTTAAAAGAAAATTTGGTATAATTTGTCTTTTGACTACAATGCTCTGACTGCAATGCTCTGAACTACAATGACTCTGAATCTACAATGCTCTGAATCCAACACACAATTAAGAGTTTTTTAGGTTATATTATGTTATCTTTTACCCTCAAACTCTAAAGATCTAACAAGTAACTCTTACCTCTAGCTCCCTTTCATTTCCTTGTGAATTAGGCAGGAGAATTCGATTTTGCATCAGGATAACACCCTCAGCTGATGAAGTTATTTTTCTTAGAACCTGTTTGTGCAATAAACTTTGGAATCACAAGGAGAAATTTCATGTGAATCAGCTGAGGAAGTTTAAGATTGTCATGCTTAGAGCCTGAAACTTAAATTACAGTTCTTGGTTATAAATAAAAATGGTAATAATGGTTTATTGTAAAACCAATGTCGCAGTCATTAGACTGAATTAAACTGGTAATGCTATGAAATATCAAATGAAAAATTAAGAATTTCTAATTGAAGCCATAATGAAGGATTTTTTAAAACGATCGGTACAATAGCAGGGCTTTTTTTTTTTTTTTTACTAAAGAGTCTGGTATTTCTTAATGGGTATCTTGTGTTAATGTTGAAAGCATTTACAAAGTTATTGATTAAAAGTGTTGTGTTGTAATATTTATTACTCTTTTTACCTTTATTTCCTCAGCTATTGCCATAAAGGAATCAGCGAAAGTTGGAGATCAAGCGCAGCGAAGAGCTGCCAAGGGTATTGACGATTTAGGTAAATAATGATTTGATATTAATCACTATTAAAGGTATTGCACATTATGGCAACACCAACTATGTCAAAAACAACAGCAGTTCTGTCATGATTTTAAAGGGGGGAAAGAGCAAGTGTTTATAAATATATCTACCTAGGTTAGTTTTGTACACACACAGTAAGCACTAAATTTGAATTGAGAACTTTGAAACTCTGCTTTTGCTCCTAGATTTTCACATTGGTGATGAAGCAATAGATAAACCTGGCTATGCAACAAAGGTTGGTGCAAACAGTTGATTTTATTACACAATTTCTGATGTGCACCATTTTAAAAGCTAGTTTGAGTGTTTTGTCCATTTGTCAAGGCAGTTCAAGTGTGGAAAAGACAAGTGTCCTATTATACTTAAAGTCCCTAACTGAACCTGCTTTTAGAAAGCAATATAAAATATTTCTTCTTTCCAATCATTGATATTAGATGTCACAACATGCCCTCTGATTAAGATATGCTTCAGTCAGTTTGATATTTGCGGTAGATTATTCTAATAATGTGCCTGTTAATTTTAATTTAAGGGATATAAATCTTGGTTTCTTTTTTTCTGATTATATTTCAAGCATGACAGTGGCTAACTCAAAAGCCATGGCTCCTCTTTGGTCACTGTGCACATCCTCCTTAGATTTTCTTTGTATTAATCTTTAAATAATATTTTAATAGTACATTTCTGTGATTATATATTCTGTGTGTAACATTAATTCATATGAATAGTGCAAATAAAGTTGAACTTGAGGTTCAAGTCAACTTTTGAACAAAGACAACTTTCAGACATGATTTGATGCTACTGTGGTTTAAAGATTTAATGAATGTAACCGTAGTTACAATTCATCGACCCAATGTTTCAACACTCCTGTCCTAGTTCTTTCATCAGGGGTGATCTGATCACCTATTTATACCTTGTCAGAAAAAAGGGCAGCTAATTAGTGAGCATATAAAAGGGCCTCTTGTTGCAACAACCGGGTACACATTTACTTTGAAGACCAGTGGATTAAAATGAACCCCATGTTGTTTCTTTTTTCTCTTCAGTGGCCCATAAGGCATGCTATCGTGGAAGACTGGGACTTAATGGTATGTAACTGCAGTATTTTAAGCTTGTAGTGTCATTTTTTCTCAACCTTAAATGTATTTTTTTGTGTCCTTTTTTACAAAAATCAGAGTTAAATCGAAATTTTTGACTCATAAAGCTTCCAGAATTTATCCTAGTTTCTGAAATGCAGAGCAAGTTAGAGTTTCTGTTACTCCTCTTGATTGGGATACAAGCCCATTGCAGTTTACATGTGTACCCTTCAGTTCTTACTGGTAGGCATTTATTAGGGTTGTAGCTGAAGAATTAGGCTGCTGAATGGAATTTCAAGTAAATTTACCACCTCTCTTATTGTTTGATAGAATGTCTTACTTTCTGAACATTTTCTTGTGTTTAGGAACGATTCTGGGAGCATTGTATATTCAAATACCTGCGAGCTGAACCAGAAGATCATTATTTCCTTCTTGTGAGTATATGTTTAGAAGGACTGGGAACTAGTTTGACCATGAGGTCAGATGACCACCATGTTGTTTTCTCTTATTGATGTAGCTTGTTATTTTCGTTAAATTAAATGACTTAAATTTGTGAAGAATTGTTTTGCTTTGAACCTGGAACTCATTCAGCAGAACAGTATATGATGCAGTTTAAAAGAAATTTCAGGTCATAATGGTTTCACACCAGTTTGATATGTATTTCCTTTTGTTTGAGATACATCATCATGATTCTTAAACACAGTAAAACAGAAATAAAAAGGGTCTAAAGTCGTTTTTTACCTACAGTGGAGGTTAAAAGTCTTGAGACACTTAAAATGCAACATTACTAAAATTGAGTCCTTCCCCACTATTCCTCCCTCCCCCCCCTAAAAATATTGAATTTTGCACACTTAGTAAACTTTGTGTGAAGGTGGTGACTGTTTGGTTTTACCAACTGTAAGAAGGGGAAAGGGAAGTTCTTTGTACTGTATATGCCTGAATTGGCTTAAAGTGGTCTTTTGTATTTCAATTTGGATATAAGATATAAGATATGTTTTCAATAACTGCCCTCTGAAGACTGGGCTGAGTTGTTCAAAGCTGGGTTAAGATAACCCAGGGTTAGTGTGGAATCTGATTTAGGATATCAAAGCTTTAAATGAAAACACAGTACAATGACTTTTGTCTGCAATTTGATGATTGGATGCTCTCAAAAGGATAGCGACAGTTATTGTAAAAGGCTCTTGAATAGAGAAATAAAGAAACCTGGGTTAAAATTTAACCCTGGAGTAGCACCAATTGGCCTTCAAACAACTAGGCCCTGGTCTCTATCTTTCCTTGAGCATTGAATTCTTTCTAAACTACAACGTACTGTACATGCCTTGTCTTTGGGGTAAAGGTCCTAACAGTAAAGGTGGTTGCAAAAGAGGGGTCTTGAAGGCAGTAATAGCAGCTGTGCTTGTTCTGTGTTCTTGTCCTCTGATGGATGTCATTCCAAATGTTGTAGATAATGATGTGGATGACGATACTGATAATCATAACATTAAAAATAATGATGTGCAGTAATTGCCTCCTTTGACAGAGTTGTGGTAATTTTCTCTTTCAGACTGAACCACCTTTAAACACACCCGAAAACAGAGAGTACACTGCAGGTGTGATACTTATTTCATTCAAGTTTTCAACTGTATATTACATTTGTTGTGGGAAAATCTCAGTTGTACTATAATTGCTTGCATGTGAACTTGTACTCTGCTTTCTGCCTGCTCTGCATTTTGAATGATATCATAATTTTTAATTCTGTGAACTCAGTGCTACAAGTCAAACAATACCTCCCGCCCTTCCCTAAAGTTCTTGCTAAGGTTTTTCATTGGAGGTGTAATGGGACATTCTGTGCATGATACATATTGTAAGCATCGGATCGAGAGCACATGGTTTTAAGAATGAATCTAGTTTTCGGTGTATGTGTTCTGTATGTTAATCGGCTACTCAATTGAAACAGTTAAACTACTCAGGAATTGTCTATATCTCCCTGTGTGGCAATTATTACAGAGGTAAAAAAAAAAAATAGCAGGTAACTTTGTCACCTTCCCCCATATTGGGTATATGTGGACACTATGTTGTCAACTGACGTTTCCCAATGAATGCTGGTCCCTTTTTTGCTGTGAGAAAAAGGGAAAGGAAACATGGTGGAGGTCATTTCTCAAGGTGACTGCAAGGGATGAATTTGATTAAAACAAGGAGGTTTTCTTCAATATATGATGTATTTTCAAAGTAGTAAAATGTGATGTATTGCCATTGTTTTTAGGAAATACTTATTGATCCCTCCAGTAGTGTTGTCCTTTTTCAAGTGGTAAAAAGTAAAGTCTACCCCTTGTCCTATCTCTTATTGCCTTCCAAAATTGCTTGGAATCCTTGAAGACTCGACAGTTAAAAGGATTTTTCTACCAGTTTAAAAATTTTTTTTACCTTTCTTGCTTAAGATAAGGGAGAACTCTGCTTCTGGAAAGTGTCGACAAACAAATTTGCTGTTGTTAGAAAGCTCTTAGAGAATGGCAATAAGGCTTGCAATATGAACCGACTTCACTGCAGTTGTTTTTATAAAATATTGTTAATTTTTTTTTTCAGAAATTATGTTTGAGTCATTTAACATCCCAGGCTTGTACATAGCTGTTCAGGTAGGAATCTGTTTCTTCATCCACTTAAAAAAAAAAAGCGGGCTTTGGTGTTTTTCACATCCATGCCCTCTAGATGCTAGTTGAGTGCCACTATTAAATTGGCTATAAAGCCACATGTTGGAAGGAAGCCAAGGTGGCAACCATATCAGAACTTTTAGTTGCCAGGGATAAAATGTCAGCAGCTTTGGTCTGATATCAGTCACAACTGCTATCTTTGAGGAGGCTTGACTGTGATTTTAAAAAAAAAAGAGCAGGGGACATGATTTCCTTGTTCTGTTTTGACTGTCCGTTTTTTTTTTTTTGTCTTTTGACAGGCTGTGTTGGCTCTAGCTGCATCATGGACATCTCGTCAAGTTGGAGACAGAACACTCACCGGTACAGTGATTGATTCAGGAGATGGTGTCACTCATGTTATTCCAGTTGTAAGAAAAAAAACTTATACTTCACTTACTTGCTATGCTTAATTTAATATATGGTTAATGCGATGGACTCAGGGTGGAAAGGAGGCTGGTTTTGTGGTGTGTTCTTGGACAAGACACTTTACTCTCACAGTGCCCTTCTCCACCCAGGAGTTTAAATGGATAGCAGCAAATTGTCTGGGAAACCTGATAAAATAGTGGGAGAGGGGAGGGAGGGGGACCTTATGTTAGACTGGCATCCTATCCAGTAGTAACTCCTAGTTTCTTCATTGTATGAAAAACGGGATAGACTGCTGCAGGATGGGCCACCTGGCTGGAGTGCAGACTAATTTTTTTTTTCATTGTGCAGCCATTTGGTCCCACTATTTTAACTTCCCGGCATTTATGTGGGTGTTTAGCTAGGAGTAAGTGATTTAATTTTGAAGTCTTCTGTGTTTTTTTTTTATATTTATTTATTTATTTTTTTTGTATCCAGGCTGAAGGCTATGTCATTGGCAGCTGCATAAAACACATCCCCATTGCCGGTCGCGATATCACCTTCTTCGTTCAGCAGCTTCTCCGTGAACGTGAAGTTGGAATACCACCAGAGCAGTCAATGGAGACTGCTAAAACCATCAAAGTAACCAACTTTTTATATCTACTGAAGTTCAAGAAGGTTAAAATGTCATCGACACATTGATCCTATTTGGAGGAATTTCATAGAAGGGTTAAGTGAGGAGAAATAGTTCGAAGAAATGAATATAGAAGGTTTTATCAACTGAGTTGATAATGTTAATTGGCCACCGCAAAGAGTTTCAAAGCCGATGTTTTGAGTGTTAGCCCTTTGGCAAAGGGTAAGGAGACTCTCTAACTGGCATAATGTCAGAGTCTGAGATCAGAAGTTATCCCATCGATAAAACTCAGCTAACCCTTTACACCCTAACATCAGCATGCATATTCTCCATACTGTTCTCTATACATTTCCTAAGGTGTTGACAAGGAGAATTTGTTTAACAATCAAGAGCCCCTTTACTTGGCGATCATTTTCTTCGTGCTTTCACCTAAATGTTTAATTCAGCAGTGAAGAAAATGGCAGCGTGCGTATGGAACGACGATGGGTTTTTGTACAGAATTTTTGCTCACTGCCGACTGTTATGCTTCCATTTTGTTTTTCCTTTTCTATTATCACTTTGTGATCCAAGGTTTACTCTCGTTTGTTTCGCTTTAAAGGAACGCTGGGGATACATCTGCCCAGACATTGCAAAAGAATTTGCTAAGTATGAAGCTGAACCAGCCAAGTGGATCAAGAAATATGAGAGTGTGAATGCTATCACCAAGAAGGTAGGAAAAATTTAATCTTCTGCTTTATTACTTAAGTGCTACGCACAAGACCTCTGACCGCGGTCTGTTTAGCCATTAGCCCTTTACAACACCCGTGAGTGTCCAAGACGGAATGTCTCCTTGCGTTATTGATACAAGATCAAACATGCAAGTCCGTGACGAGAATCAAGAAAAATATGATTATCAATCAGGGGATTATTAGTTGATCCAGTACTAAATTCTCAGAACTAAAATCGTTAGAAATGTATGGCAAACATTACGGAGAATCACTAATTAGATCTAGGGAGTGAAAGGGTTAAGCGGGTTCTGGTGTTTGGGTTTCGCCTTACGGCACGTCTGTCTACTACACCATTGGCAAGCGCTTCTAGAAAAAGTTATAGAAAAAGTTATAGAAACCCCTGTGGCGCATCCATCCCCCGCTTAACACAACAACAGTCAACTGATGACAAGTCAGGGTTAATGTTGGGTTAGGGCAGGGGTGGGTACTCAGTTGCTCAGATATGTCAACTTGTTAACTAGTGCAAAGCAGCCCACTTTTATTTCCTATAAATCATTCTAAGCAAAGCTGCAAAACTAAAGAACAAAAGTTTATCTTTCAAACCGGCACTCAGTCCCCACGGTATTAACGAACGCTTTTCATTCAACTAATTTATAACTTAGTGAAGCCCCTACGCAAGGGTTCACCAGATATGTTTAGTTTTGACTTTTGTGACATTGTTCTTATGTTGGATTTTTTTATGACTTCTGCACAGCCTTTCTCAGTAGATGTGGGGTATGAACGATTTTTGGGCCCGGAAATTTTCTTCCACCCGGAGGTAAGGCTGAAGACTGCATTATTTTTTCCATTATTAAGTCTAAGGGAATTTTTGTTTTAAGGGAAAAAGCCCCTCAAAATGTGCCCATCAAAGTAATTTTTTTTGGAACTTTACTTGTGAATTTGTTGATTAGTTTTGACATCATAGCTTCAAGTTTTGAAATAGATGGTAAACGAGAAAGTACATGTAATGTTCTTGCATGGTGCGAAACGATACGTGAGAAAAAACCTCTCGCGAGAGGTTCTGAGTTTCGATGTCTTTGATTATGGCTTTTGGTTTAGGTAATAATTTGTTGTTCTGCTCTAGTTCTCTAACCCAGATTTCACCACCCCTCTGTCAGAGGTTGTAGACAACGTCATCCAGAACTGTCCAATTGATGTCCGTAGACCTCTTTACAAGGTGAGTACAAGGGATACAGTTGGAGATAGGAAGCGGACGACGTAGTTGCTTTGTGGTTTGTTCTTCGCCCTTTAACTTCCAAGATCTGATTTTTAATTTTCTCTTCTGGCTGCTACAAATGTCCTTGTAAATTAGTTACGAGAAATTTACGTTAGATCAAGATAATAACTTTAACCTGATAAGTTTGAGTATTCTCATCACCTGTTTGCTGGATAATGTATGGATATTATAAGGAGAAGTTACACGTTGATCGCTTCTGGGAGTTAAAGGGTAAACGTTTCCACTTCCATCAGTGACTTTCTACTTGAAAATGTATCGATGCTGCGAGGAGAAATGCCTGTAGGTTGTCCCTGGGAGTGAGTGGTTTATGCGAATACAATTTCTGTGGGGTCAGATGAGCCTGCACTAAATTGCGACAGAAAATCTACCCAAAAAAAGTTAAGTGCATCCACAAAAAGACCAAAAAAAAATTAAGAATCTCACGTCTGTAACGCAACCCTAGCTTTCATACGCGCGCCAAATTTTCTGGTTTCCAGTCCTTTTCAAGGAGTGCGACTTTGTAAACTGCTTTTGTTAGCGGTAGCGAAAACAGTCTGGTAGCGGTAACGGAAGCGGCAATCGAATGAATTTGGAAACAATTTGAATTCTACTATCAAATTGCATTTGTGAGCACCCCTTGTTTTAAAAAGAGTCGCGAAATTGCTTTAGTGCGGGATGTTCCTTGCTCGGCAAATTTTCAGGTGTAGATTCGCCGAAAAAAAATATTCAGGTTGAGATCTAATTTGCTGACAGGTCTTAACAGTGCTTTCCTTCCAGGCCCTTTTATACTTCTCCACCAGTAAATAGCCTGCTACCAGATATTGATTTCGGTTCTACAAAATTAAAAGCATTATTGTATGGTTTTGCCGTAATTTCAATTTCGTCAGCCAAAGTTACACACACGAATCTCTTTTTTTCAAAACTTGTGGTAATTAGACTAAATGAAATGAGCCTCAAACCTAGCCATTATAGCTTACCACCACTTGCTTAAGTATTCCTATGGTTTGTCAACTTCCACTCTTCCTACTTAAACCATCAAAGTGGTCAGTAGTACACGTGGGCACCATGGACACAGCCAATCAGGAAAGAGTGTCGTACCACGTGGTACCAATCATATGGCTGGATAGGCATCCAAGATGGCATTTGATTTTCCGCCATTTTGTTGCCTCTTTTAACTTGCCTAATTTCGATTGTGATTTTTTTTCTTTTCTTTTTGTGCTGTCCAAAGAATATCGTGTTGTCTGGCGGTTCAACCATGTTTCGTGACTTTGGTCGCCGTCTTCAGCGTGATATCAAACGTGCAGTGGACGCTCGACTGAAACTCAGTGAGCAGCTAAGCGGAGGACGCATCAAGGTAATTACATGTACAACGTTGTCTGGTTTTAGCAGAGCGCACTTGTCTTTCTGTGATTTTATTTTGTCCCAGTCAACTCACGCGTCAACACGCAATGTGAGCTTACTAATGCATATATGATCTTTTTTAAGCCGAAACCAATTGAAACTCAAGTTATCACTCATCACATGCAACGCTATGCTGTGTGGTTTGGAGGAAGTATGCTGGCTTCTACGGTACGTGACTTAAGGATTAATTCTAAACAATTTGTCGTGGAACAATCTTGTCAACATACGTAAACTGCACCACATGAAAGAACTGCTTAGCACAGTTTCTTTAGAAACAAACCCCTTTTCTTCATTAGCGTGCACGGGTCGTGACGTAACCCCTTTAAACCTAACGAAAAAAAATGTCTAGTGTGTGACATTCTAATCATTTGAATCGTCAGTTTTAAAGGGGCTGCGTCACTAGTCGTGCATGCTTATGAAGAAAGGGGGTTTGTCTCTAAAGAAGGTGTGGTGCTGGGTCGGTGGGTGAGAACGACAAAGTAATTTTGGTTTTATCAACTGAGTTGATAATGTAACGGCCACCATAAAGAGTTTCATAGATGACGTTTTGAGCGATCGCCCTTTGTCAGAGCGAAGGGCTAACGCTCAGAACGTCATTTATGAAACTCTTTCCGGTGGCCAATGTACATAATCAACTAATTTTTAAAAACCAAAATTACCATTTTTATGAAGAACCGAGGAAATGGCGACGTATTTGCCGTCGAGTTTTATTTTTGTTTGTTTAATCATGGAACGTTGCGAATGATATTTTTGGATGTTGTTATAGAGTGAATATCATACCAACACGTCGATGGTATGATATTATGGCCTCTTGATTTTTTCATGATTATTATGAACGAAGCTGCCCTCTCTGAACGCCTGTTAGGTTTGTGTTCTGTTAATTTGCCAATAATGCGCGACGGTTTCATCAACAGACTTGAAGGGTGTCACGAAAACTTACACCCCAGTCCCCCGAAAAACTCAGACCCCTGAAACGCGCGAGAGCTTCATCAACAGACTTAAAGGATGTCACGAAAGCTTAGATCCCAGTCTCCCGAAATACCCAGACGCCCGGGTGTCTCCGAAACTCGGACTTAATACTATACACCATTTAAGTTTCTTATATATTTTACTTTCCTCTTCATTACAGCCGGAATTCTATACAGTATGCCACACAAAGGCGGACTATGACGAGCATGGACCCAGCATTTGTCGTCACAATCCCGTGTTTGGCGCCATGTCTTGAGAAAAAAGCTTCATTTCTTAGGTCACTTTTAGATTCCGACGAAATACACTTTGATCTTTGCAAGATAATTGTCAAATAGAAACTTTTAACCAATCGTATGCTGAGAGTAATCGTTATTCTTTGGTCGGCGGTAGGTTACCTTGAAGACCAGCCGCTGAATTCAGGTACTGAAGGCTCTTAGTTAAAGGTTGAGCTTTGACTGAAAGAGTCAGCAGTTTTCTTTGTAAGTTTAGAAATTAAGCGTACCGCTAAAGATTGTAACAAATGATTCTATTGTTTTTTTTTTTTTGTTTTCATGAGTGACACAAAGTTCATTTTCTTCAAAATATTATACGTTTCTGAATTTTGTTGATGGTAATAGCATTTTGAAACATTTTCATAGCGAGTGTCAATCAGAAAAGGAATTTCGCGACATCCAGAACTGCGTAGTGGAAATACTTTGTAAAGTTAGGTGCGTTGATTTTGTATGAAGAAGAAGAACTCGGATAGTTGGTGATTTTCGTGTAGCTAAAGAGTTAGCCTGACTTAACTTATGTTTTAAAATTGCAACAGAAGACCACTTTTTCGAGCTTTCAAAGAAGTTGAAAGCTTATTAAAGGTTGACTTCCATTTAGACGTACTATAGCGGTACAAAAAATTCGTTTCTTAAATAGACTTGATTTGACTTCATAAAATTTCTTTTCGTTTTTGCGAGCAAGGGATCTTTGTTTGTACTGGAAATGCAGCCTTTCACCTGTTGTAGCACTTAAGCGCGAACGGGCCAGCCTTTTTGGCCAACCAAATGTGATTCAGAGAATTGGCAAAATCATTTTCCAACTCGATGTTGTATCGTTTGGTCAACCTTAATATTTCCACGCTTTGTATGTTAAACAGATTTTCTTGGATTACGTATCGCCACAGCGAACGGTGTATTGAAACATATTTTGAAAAATAAAATTCCATTGTTATAGAATCAAATTTTATTATCTCGTACGCTCGAAGAGAGTCTATAGAGTAAGAAATAACATAGCAAGTTCTAATACGTGGCAGATAGGCCAAAACTTTTTCTGCCTTACTTTGGAAGTTAACTTCAAAGGTAAAGGTAAAGGTCTCTATTTCTCTAAACAACATACGTGTTTAGTTACAATTTTTTAAGGTTGAAATCAAACAGGCGCCTCTGGCAGCCGTGTTTAGTCCGTAGCGATTTCACCTACCCACCCAACCCACCCCAGGGAGGACATCCAGCACACAGTAATCTCGTGTGTGGGAAATTAACGTCTCCCTACCCCAACCCTGCAGGAAACGGGACCTCCATTTATTCGTCCCTATCCGAGAAGACTAGAATATCTAACCATTTCTTGATGTTAAAGAAAGGAAGCATATTCTTCTCAATTAATTTTAAGACCCTGAGTGTTGGTTCGGCCGGTATTGAACTCTCGACCTCCCGCACAGCAGTCCGGCGCTCTCCCAATTGAGCTAACCAGGCGGCGGATCTACTTATTGCTTCTTGTTAATGTTAAATAGATATGATTTGGATATATCAACAAAGTTGAAGTGGTAAATTGGCCACCGTAACGATTACAAAAGCTGACGTTTCGACCGTTAGCCCTTCATCGGAGCGAATAGATATGCATTGAGCGCTTTTCGACTGATTTTCGTAAACCCTAAACCACAGAAATAATAGCGGCCAATCAGAGGAGGCGAAAATACCTTTAAGAGCCAATGAGAACTCAAAGTAAAACCAGCCAAACTGCCTAAAACGCGAAAACGCGTCTGACCAAGTTATGAGTGCTTTGCAGTTTTGCTTCTGATTGGTGGAGAGGATGGCGCTAGTTTTCTGGACCAATTACGGAGTAAAGAACAGCAAAACCAATGCAATCTCGGTATACTTTTGACACTCAATTGATTATTGCTCTGTTGTGAACCGCCATGTTTTCCGGAAACCAAATATAGCCAGGTTTCATCTAAAAAAAAAAAGAAAAAAATTTAAAAGACAATGATCTCTAATAGGTTCCAAAGAAAAGTTGAAAATCAGTGACCATGCAAAACAAATTTCAAGCTTTAGGTAACTTTTTGTTGGTCCCATGAATTGGTGACGGTTGATTTCGAAAAGTCAGTTCGACTGCAAAACAACCGTGGATTTGAATACCTTCTTACTTCCAAATGTTCTTTTCGTCTTGAAATTATTTCTGCAGACATTTGTTGTTACGAAGAAGCTTTTGATGATAAAGCATCTCACCAAACAATTGGATTTTGGGCTAAACGTCTAAAGAGGATTATTTCTGTTCGCGCAATTTTTTGGGTGACTGCTTTGTTAAACGGCAAACGTGCAGTGGTAGGTTTTTTCACCAAAGCTCTTAATAATTTCAAAGTTGTACGAATTACCCTTGTATTTTTTGTCATCGTAATGCCTGTAATTTAGCTGAATGTTGTTTAGCTTTCATCAATTAACTTTTTGCCACCGTAAATTATCGGATTACCCAAAACAGAGAAAAGCATGAAGTCAAATACTCGAGGAGATTTGGAAGTCTACAGAATAAAAACACATTTCGAAGCGAAGAGGTTTTCTTACGAATCGTTCCTTAAAAAATTTGGTGGTTTTCTGCGCTTTGTGCAATAATTAAGTATCTTCTGAATTTTGCTTTAATCTCTAATTAGCGTCAGTGAAAAGCTCATTCCTTTATTTAAACGGAGAGTGTTTTTTGTGATGCAAAATTTGGCCTGACATCGCTTGACCTTGCATTGATTAGAGATGTCATCTTAGTTTCGTGCGTGCAAACTTGGGTTTGTTTACCGTATTTACTGAGTCGAGTTTGGTGGCACTTCAATAATAGATCGACCGATCTTTAAGCTTTTTAAGAGACTTATTGAGCCAATTTGGAACCACTGTTTACTGAAGTTTAATGAGCTGTAGTTCATTAGCATTGACAAATCTCGATCAATGATTGGGTCATATTTCGTGACGTATTTAAGTCTACTGTTAACATTCACGGATCGTAATTACTGCTGTGTGCGAAAGAGTTGTATTAATGTGTCTAAACGTTGAATGTTCTCGATATTTTAGCTTTATTTGCCCCAAAAGAAATCCATTCATGGGGGTTTAACGCGCCGAAAGCATACCAACTCGTTTGGCCTTTGCGCGAATAGTATAAACCTTTCCATTATGCACCGGTATGTGCTGAACTGCTGAGCGAGAACATCACTACGTAAAAATGGTTTGTATACATAACTATGCCGAAAGGATTTTAACAAATTGTGGACATGATTGATGGAAAGATTTACGGCACGGATTGCTTCGAAGTCGAACTGGTAAGTGTTCAAAAGTTTTACAAACTTTTCCATAGTTTATAAAATTACCAACGGGTTATTAAGACGCGTGGATTTACCATCCCAAATAAGAATCAGCGACACCCGATAAACTTCTTACTCCGATCGCATGTCTTCTTGTACATTAGAACTCGCTACATCTTTGGTGTCAATTGTTTCACTTTTTTCACAGTTTCTACAAAGAAACGAGTTCTCGAAGCTCTACCAGGTTAAAAGCAAGGAAGATGGGAAAATATACTTAATGGAGGTGTCCCCACGGGATGCAAATTCAAGAGCACCCGTCAGTCCCTATGTTCAGTTAACCAAAACATTGCTCTCTTCGTTTTGGGTTAGTCTGCGGTTCGCGTTTCAAACTCGGTCGAAATTTTACTTTATCCTGGACTTCGCTGGCGGCCAAACACTATCGCGAAAGCTGAAATTTTATGGTGGAAAAATTCCCGAGCCTTTAGCGAGATTTTATGCCGCAGAGATTGTCGTCGCTTTGGAAGAATTACACAGCTTCCGCCTAGCTTACAAAGATTTAGATTTAGATGCGGTGTACGTGGATTCTGAGGGCCATATCAAGCTTTGGCGTAGTTTTTGTGGAAAGCTTTACTGGGTGCATGGTGAATGCATTTGTTCGCTCGCTGGATTTTTCCACGGAGATCCGTGTAATAACAATCATAACCTTACAAATGAGTTTGATTTTCAAGAAGATTGGAAGGCTCTTGGAACTGTGATAAATGCAATATTAACGGGAGATAACAATCAATGGACTTCCGAAAACCCGTAAGTATATATAAACATATTTCTCTTGGCACGTTTTGCCATTCGTGTGGTTATGTTGTCATCACCTAATTCTCCAGTTACTATTAACACTCTACCGCTCTCTGAATCTCTCTCTCCCGTAAAATAAATCGGTTATGATTTGACGCAAGTTCAAAATACTGCTTTCATTTTGGCTTCAGTCTGTAACTTACTTTTTATCGATTCACTCAAAGACGGGAAAGTTTCTAATTGACATCTTGACATTGTGGACCAAAGAGACCATTAGCATTTTAAATACGCATGTTTTTCACGATTTTAATTACCATTCACCGTCTATAAATCACCTTGTATTTGACGCGATTTTTTCTTCAATTTTCAACCTACTTCCGTTAGCTGCCTTCTTTTCTCCTATGTATGTTACATCTGAACGAAAATTCTAGGTAAAGTAATCTTTTGTTGTCGAATTGTCATGAAAGATATTGTGATTACATTGGGACAAAATGCAAAACAGTCTGAGGGATTTGATTGTCTTGTTCATCTACGTTGCTGGCTGATATTCAGAGTTTTTCAGCAATTAAATTTTCAGCTAAAAGCATATTTGCGAGAGAAGCTACCGAGGCACCTCATTCGCTCAAATTATAGTTTTCATGGAATGTTGTTGAATCAATATTCGGTCTTGAAATGGGTTAAATGTTGGAGACTTTGCCTGTTTATTAGACAGCTCATTGTTTTAAAACTTTTCGATCAACAGGTGGAAAAATTCGCAAAAATTCGTTTTGGAATCTCGGTAATTTAAGCTGGAAAATGTTTCGTTGCGAAGACAGTCGCAAAAAGTGGGCTTTACAGAAACACAGAATAGATGTTTTTATTTCTCGTTTTTCTTCCGTTGAAATTGTTCACCGGAATTACACGTTTTGAGTTTTCTTGCAACATTTTTCCGCTTTCATAATTTACATTTTCCTAGCGACTGTTCTAAGAGTTTCTTTTAAGAAAGAGAAAACTTTTCACAGACACAATGACGAAAGAAGAAAAGGAAATCGTGCCGAGAATGGCAACACTATGTTAATTATCGAATTAAAACAGATTTAACTTGATTTGAACTATTTGGACATTGTGGTACAAGATAGATTTTAGTGGAAGATCATCAAATTCGATGTGATGTTCGAATGAAAATTCTTCTATTGCTTTCCTAATAGGCTCTGAAAGTTAGAAGGTATTATTCGAACATCACACCGAACAAATCTTAAATACGAGCGTAATATTCTTTTGTTTTCAAAGACTTTACAATTTTTAAGGGTAAGTCACCAAAAGCTATGTTGACCACTTTTCTTTGTGAAAACGATCAACGTCAATTTTTTATTTGAATGACTATCTAGGCCGTTTGATCTTGTGTCACGTTTAAACCTTTAAGACTTCAAGGTGAAAGATCAATCACGGATTTTACTATTTTATGCAGGAAACTTCGGATGATAACAATAGTTCGTTTTAATTTTCTGAAGAACATGGTGTTTATTCTGGCGTGGTAGTACGTGACGTTGAGTTTGAAAAAAGCTGACGAAGGTTTTTCGTCATCCAATTCTAAGTTCTGTCAAGTGTCTTAAACAATACGAAAGCTCTTTTGTTATTGTTTTCCAGATTTATTGTACAGATTTGACGTAAATTCGTTCGTGATTTAAGTTTTCGAGTGGGTAACACGACTTCATTATGCTCGACGTACAGCAATGTTAATGTTTGAACAATTGGTTTCTTGCGTAAGCGAAATGACCTCGTTGGGTTTTATCAAAGATTTCATCGAAGATCTACAGAATTTTCTCTTTTTTTTTTTCTCGTTTTATTTTTTTATTTTTCTATTTTCAAGAATTTGTTGTAGATCAGTACAGCTTACGCCGTGATGCGGGAACACGTATCCGTGCCGCGTGCACTCGATGATTTCTTGACTCGCGCAACAGATTACGGGCTGAAAAGGTTGCTGTTCTCAATTTTCTCTTCGGTTACCTGGCAGTGTTAGTATGTAGTTGCAAAAACATTCATCTGGAAATAATTGTCCAGAATACCACCAAAACGGCAACGCTGTGACACAAATTTTAACACTAAAATCCTAAAGGTGCAGTTTACCCACAATGATCATACGCGTCACTTGCTATTTGAGAATGCCATAGCGCACGTGCCAATCGCGTGTGTCTCGCCAGTTTTAGACATCAGATTTGTCAACAGAACCTAGAAGGAGGTCAAGCTAAGAAAGTAGACGCCAGAAAGGTCTCATTTTTTAAAAGTAATCTCTCTCAAGTCATCGCTATTTCACTCTTGTTCAAGGAGATCTCGAAAGGATTTAGAGATAATTAATAATTTGTTATTAGTTTTGCTCGTGTGGACATCATAATGGTAATCTGAAAGACAGGCGACAGTTACTTTACATTTATCTAAGCGAGCGGAGGAAAGCACATGGCCAGCGTGAGCGAATCGCGAGGAATCAGTAACGCGCGAGAGGAAGAAAGCGTAAAAAAGTGACACAGGCGTCATGTCATTCTCGCTACTCTATTTGGGCTTGCCTCGTCTCTCGCGCTTTTCTCGCGCGTTTCTCGCACTCGTCTCGCGTTTTCCTCACTCCTCCCCCTCACTCGCCTCGCACTGTTTGCACGTGTGTTCCTCAGGCAACCCGAGGCATCTCTTTTCTCCTTCTACCAAAACATTAAAGCAAAACGCGAAGTACGTTTTACTTTATAAAGTATATTTCATATTTTTACATTATATCTATAGAAGACCAGATAACCTGTTCAGTTACTTTGTATTAACACTATTATAACTATCTTCTATCCAGTGCCCTCTCGGCTTCAGCCAGTGATTTAATAAGTAGACTGAGGCGAGGTGACATCTCTCGGGCTGACCAGATCCAGTCCCACCCGTTCTTCAAAGGAATTATTTGGCACGAGGTATGGTGCAAATGACGTACGAAACATTCTGTTTTTATGAGGGCATTTTGCTCGAGAAAGGAGCAAATGAGAAGTTTCAAATGCATATCTTATTACAATTTTTGGCAGATTTGAATCTTTTGTGACAAAGAGAGCATTTGGAATCAGTGCCGTAAAGCCAAACTAAAGCTTACCATAGCAGCCAATCAGAGCAAAGGAAAATATTACAAGGAACCAATGGGAATTCGTGGGGAAAGAAAGGGAAAAAAGCGCGGGAAAAACGATTTACAAAGTCGCGATTGGTGTGAGTCTTGCATCTGATTGGTTGATAGGGTGGCAGGAGTTTTCTAGACCAGTCACAGAGCGTAACGGAAAAGAACCAATGTGGTCCAACATTGCTTGCGGTACTCGATTGGAATTCCTCTGTTTTAAGAATTTTAAATTTGTTTCATTTCCATTTGGGTGCATGCTTTAGAGGTGAATGAAATGGTGTGTGAAATTTGCGCCGCACTTTAAAGTAAAGTAAAGTTCTTTGAGATTTCCGAAATTGAAGTACACAGTGTTCTGGCTTACTTCTCTTAAGCTCAAGCAAATGAAGATTTCAGCCGAGTCAGTCAAAGAGCGCGTTTGAAACTTTCATCTTTCAAAAACTTATCCATGGCTAATTTCGATGTCCAACTTTTAACGCCTCTAGAGGTAATTTGAAGTTCATTTGTGCCTTTCGCGTTGTTATCCATTGTAATCAAACGAATCCAAAGGGCTTTCAATGTTTCTTAATGTTTAATGAATTACTTCGTTACCTCTGCAGTCCTTTGCAGAGGTAATGAACTAGGCAAAATACAGTTTCTCAGACGTTTTATGAAGTAGCCCCAGGTGGTACCCGACTCCATACAAATATTTTTGTGTCTAGTTTTGAGATTGAATTTTCACAATATATAAACAGTACAGTTATTGAACGATTTCAGCTTTGCCCATCAAAAATAACGTTTCCTTGGTAACCTCGCTTTCAGCACTTGGAGCAAAAGCTATTTATGAATTTGCTTAGTTAAATGCAACGTCCATTACAAGAATGTCACTGCCATGAAAAATCGAAATTCGTAGGTGAAATGTTGATGTTCGATCATGGACAATGATCAGGGCTCTTCAGTTGGAAAAATGTGAAGTGAAAAACAGGGTGTCTAGAGGCAAAATGCTTCCTGGCAAGGTTTCGTTCATCGAAGCTCGAAATTAGCGTCCTAGCTGGAGAGAAAATTTAGCCGTGCCGTCGTGCTTTGAAGCAAAAACCTCTTGAGCTGGCTCAAATTAGTTAAATGAAAAGTTATTGAGGTGGTGCATGTAAAACGAACGACCAAAAAGTGTCGGAAAGATGCGGTAGTAAAATATTGATTGATAAATATTGTGAGGCGTGAGTAGTCCAGGGGTCAGTGCGCTGGACTCTGGGTCAGACGGCCTGGGTTCAAGTTCTGGCTGCGTCGTGACGTTGTGTCCTTAAGCAAGACGCTTCACTCACATGGTTTCGTCTTCTCGGATAGGACGTATTAATTGTAAACTGCCGCTGGCAGTCTGGAAAAAGTCCCCCGCACAGTGTTGTAAAGCGCATTAGAACATAGCATAGAAATGCGCTATAGAAATTGATATTATTATCATTAACTATTCTTATCGAAACTCGATGCGATATAAGTAGCGATAATTCAACGTTAAATAGTCAGACAATATGATTCTTTCTATTACTTTTCTGAAATGACTTCCAGGTGAGAACGAGGAAGGCACGACCATCTGTGAGCACGGACAAAGGATCCAATTCCTCTCCAGTTCAAACAAATCCTTCCGCTGGCTATTCACCAACTGGGGCTAATATAACAAATCTACCTTCTTCGTTCTATCGGCCTCATAGTCTGTCGCACCACAGTGACCCGGGCGATACGAGATACCTCAAGAGCGCCCCTGACTATATGGTGCATGAGTCCGGTCTCTGCAGTGGGTTTTCAACCCCTGATCTCCGATCGATTAATCAAGTAACCCCGTTCTTGCGACATCATACGTCACTTCCGCCAAGAGACATGTACTATCACTATGGAAACCCTGGTTATCCAAGCACAACACCGCGTGATTTTCAATCAAGTCCCGTGCAAAGGAGGTTAGCTTCGCGTTCTTTGAGTGATCTTTCTGCTTTAAACGGACATGATGATGCATTTGTTCCCAACCCCCAAACGACCCTAAATGAAACGTTCATCTACTCAAATCATGAACTTGCTCCGCAATACGCCAGAACATTTTATACGCAGCCTGGAAACCATTCAGGAGTTTTGAATGGCGATTATGCTCTGCGTTCGACTGGCAGTTTTCCTGATTTAAGGAGTAACGTTGGTCCTTTCACTTCATGCCACTACACCTCCCACGATGGAAGATCCTCACCCACCCCCTCTGGGTACATTGATTACAGTTCATGCACTGAGCCACCCCTCCGTGGCACATTTATGCTACCGCATCAAACCTTGCGTTACCCTTATAGCGACATTGGTGTGTCGTCACTGGATAATTTTAGTGTAATAGGCTTACGAAGATGGGAACGCAGTTCGACAAGAGATTCGGAAAATCATCGCGGCAGTTCGGAACCCGAAAATAACCCTCGTGGTAATCCACATTCACTTCATTCTGAGCGGAGTGCAATCGATGCTTCATCGTCCCCAGGAAAAAATCCTTCAAACAAGTCGTCTACTCAACAAAGTTCATCACAACGTTCGGATTTCACGAAGAAGAACGACTCCGATCGAACGTCTACGAATACCACTCGTGAACGTTCGTCGACGCTAACTCGTACTCTTTCGTTATCCGATATGGAAGAAGGAACCAAACACACTACTCCGAAAGAAGTCCGGGAAACTAGGCGAGATAGTTTGCCAATTGGTGTCAGTAATGCAAGAGAAAAGTACCCTCTAGCCAGAGTTCCCATTCCATCATTTCGCGAATTTAAACAGAGGAATTTACTCGAAGACACTAAAAATAAACCATTGATTGAAAAGAAAGATGCGAATGATGGGGAATCACAGAGATCGCCGAGGGCAGATTCTAAAACAGAATCTAAAAGCAAAATAGAGATGCGGGAAAAACTGAAGGAAAGGCTGTCTTCTTTGTACGAAAGCTCAAAAGACATCTCGGCTCAGAATTCGACAAGAAAGCTTAGCACCTCTTACAAGTTGAATTCTTCGAATGGTGTTACCTCAGAGAAATCCTCTCTCATCAAATCGAGTGATTTAACAGAAACAAAAGGCAGTATTACAAAGGATATTAAGGACTTGGGCGGCTCACGAAAGATTTCTAGGGGCCGACGCGAAAGCCCGTTTTCGAAAAACGAAGTGATTCATAACCTTATGTTGAAGTACGGCTTATATGAAAAAGGCGGTCACAAGAGGGGAGATGGTTCGCGAGCGGACGCAAAGGACATTGGCTCATCGACGGATAAAGTCAGTTCTCGCGAAAACCAAAGAAACAATAAAAATTTAAAACATATTTCATCGGCTGCAAAGTCTGAAAACGTTTTGTCAAGGGAAGAGAGAAGAACGCAGAATTATTCGCAATTGAAAGAGTCCACTCCTAGAGGGAGCGCCATTTCTGATCGAAAAACTGCCACAGCTGCAACATTTGAATCGAAAAAGTCCGCCGCGGAGAGGTTTAGAGAATTGCGAAGAAAGCATGTTCTGCAGAATGATTCTGAAGATTCTCGAGCTGCAGAAAGATTGACATTAACAAGCAGGGGAAAGACACTGGAGAGGAATTCTGTAGTAACTGCCTCAATAACCGAAAATGGCAAACAGACACCGAGGCGAGGAAAAAATCAGAACAACTCTGGTGAAATTCAAGGAGGTGATCACACTTCTACCCCAGCAGGCTTAAGAAAAGCAAATTCAAAAGTTGAGGAAGGAAGTATGGCATTATATGAGAACACTGCGAAGCGAAACGTCGACTCGAAGTCGAATAATAACTCTGAGACATCAATCCAAGGGGAATGTTCTATTGGTCTCCGAGGTACCTCCAGGGCAATTCTTTGTGCGACAAAATTTAAGAGAGCTGCTAACAAAGGCTCGAGAAAATCAAACGATTCGCCCTTGCCAGACAAGAAAAAGCTGGGAGACATTATTACCAAAAACGATTCAGCAACTAAAATTGTGGTCGAGAAAATGCAAGACGGAAACTCTATCGAAATCAAACGGGATGAATCATTGGGGAAACGATCACCGAATACCGGACGGCGAGATTTCCGAACGAACGGAAAACTTCGGAAAGGCGGTATTCACACGAGCATGCTCAGTGTGGCCAGCAATGCATGCTTGACCGATTCTGAAGTAGATGATACCATTAGCTTGTACAGTAAAATGGACTCGCTTGATAGCGAGCGAGAAACAAGAGGACGTAGGTGGGAGAGTTTCCATAGCAACATCAGTGCTGACAGTGGCTCCGCCCACATGTTTGAATTCGATACAGATTCCAATACGACCGAGTTCGAAGAGGAGGTGTTCGATGACCGTGGTTCTGAAGGTGAGTCGGGATGTAATCATCTTGAAAAATGTTCGCAAGGTTGTATTGACGCATTATCGTTTCATTACACGTGTTTTCACCGCGATGGATAACCAAAGCCCTCTATTAACAATATAAATTTTCTCATCTTCGAGATCAAATTGATACAAAAGATTTCTCGTTAAATTTTCTCCTAAGTGTCGAAACTAATCTATTATTGGGTCATTTTGGTTTTATTAAGAGTTGATAATGTAAACTGGCCACCATAAATAGTTTCAAAGTTGACGTTTCGCTCGAACGAAGGGCTAATGCTCGAAACTTCAGCTTTGAAACTCTTTACGGTGGCCAGTTTACATTATCAACTCAGTTGATTACACTAAAATTACTTTTTCTCTCCCACCGACGCAGCACCACAGTTTCTTTTGAAACTCACCCCTTTTAATCCGTTGTTACATTGGTTTTTTTCCCACCTCACTCTGTGATAGGTCTAGAAAACGCGCTCCTCCGTCTTAACCAATCAGATGTAAAACCGAGCCAATCGCGACTTGGTCGCCCGAATTTTCCCGCGCTTTCTACTCTGAGTACTTCTTGGCTCCTTGTGATATTCTTCTTTGCTGTGATTAGCTGTTGAGAGTATTTCGGAGTTGGTTTTACGACACACTCACTCTAGAAGTGCTTTAACGGGCAGTTTCTAAAATCTTGACCCTGTTTTTTTCTTTCCAGATGAGCATCCTAAGAGCGAGGCCGAAGTGGAGCGCACAGACAGTGGTGTCGGAGGTGACATGGGACAAGGTCCCGTGAGGCGCTCTTGGGAGGAAATTGTGATGAAGAGCTCTGAGCACTGGTCCGTTGTGGCTGCCTCCGCGCGGCACTGGCAAGAATTGGCCCGTAGGAAAAAAGCAAATGACGACGAAATGACCACAGCAAGGAAACGAAGTTCTGTACATTCTATAACTGAAGATATGGTAATAATTCTTTCCTCCACCAAATTAACTAGTGGCGGATGCAGTCCTTGAGCTAAGAGGGTGAGGGGGGGTTCACCTGCTGGCTTTTCTTCCCTCTGCGTTTATTTTTTTTACCAAAATGAGGGGGAGGCTGCTCGGGCCTTCTGTGCCCCCCCCCCCTTAGATCCGCCATTGTTAATCCTCTCATTCTCTTAATTTCTCCGTATAATTTCAATATATTTTCAAGCATAAAAGTGAGGAAAAAGGAAATTTAATCACCCTTCGTTGTTGTCAACGTTTCTAGGTCGAGTGCCCAGATTGTTTGAAGCACTATGTTCCAGCAATAATTAGCGAAGAACAGAAAGACAATAGTAAAGAACCGGAGATTTGTCCCAAGTGCAAAGACAGAAAAGTGGAGAGAAAAGAGGCCATTATTGAACTTGTACAAACCGAAATCAACTATGGAAATGATCTTCAGATCTTGAAAGAGGTAAGTGACTGAGCATACAATTGGCAGGTCGTAGCGCGCCTGGTGTTACTGGATATAAAATAGGTTTGCCAACTGATAATGTGAAAAAAAGTTGCGCCTATTGGCGTGGTCAGCGGTAGGTAAGGCGGCGATAAACCAATAAGAACTTAGAATATTCAGCAACAAAAGCAACCTGGCGCGAAGGCGGGGAAACAGCATTAATCGATTCAGGATTTTCTTTGAGTTCAGATGTGATTGACTGAAAGTAGCGGGAATTACATGACAAACTTAGCATGGTAGAGTCATCCGAATTGCAAGCTCACGAAATTCAGCTCAAGGCTGTTATGTGCAACCTTTTTCTCAAAGAGGTTGCCACAATGCCAACGGGTTGTTTCCATTTCAAGCTCGCTTTCTCAAAAACAAAATTCGTAGATTACACATGGGCCAATGTTAGCAGGATTCACGTTCGGAAGACAGGCTACAAAAGTGATATCATCTGTCTTTTTGCCTCTTCCTTGGAAATTCCAGCCTATATGATGAAAACCATGAAACTTCTAGGATGAATTTGCTGTTAACTGCCACTATTTTTTTTCATGGCCCATAATCTTTTTCTTTCTCTTTCCTTTCACAAATTTTAAAACAGCCATTAAGACCTCCTCCTCTCACTCTCGTGGATTCGAATTAATTTTTCAAACAAAACTCCAAAAAATACAATGCGACTAACTTTGTTGGTTAATGACCATGGTATTTCTGGTCAAATCATAACATCGCAGAAATGGTTATTTCAAAAGTTTTTTCGCTCCAGTTCTACCAGCAACGTGGATACTAAGTTATCCGTAATGTAGTCAAAATATCGCCGGAAAAAACTAAATAAAAAAATCCCTACTTCACACAACCTCTTATTAACTAGTCATTTCCAGCCGAACATGTTCCTTTTCATCATCAGCCACTGTTCTTAAATTGAGATAGATGTCTATTTCCTACAATGAGAGTTGAAAAAAAATCAAAGTAGTCGATGGAGTTCCGTTGGACTGAGACCTTAGTTCCGGTGGATTTTAGTCAACTCATATTTAATAGCTTTAACAGCACGGTCGATATGCTCTTCCGTGTTGTAGATGTGAGGGGAAAATCGCATTCGATTTTCTTTCTTGGTCGACACGCCGATTTTGTGATCTTGATACAGCTTGTTATACACAAACTCGTTCAATTCTGAGCTTACTTCACCTACGAACTTGATGGTCAGGATACCGTGGTACTGGCTCAACTCCTCCGGAGTTTCTATCTCGAAGACATTGCCCACTTCGGGCGCCATATCTTCCAAACCGTCCCTCAGTCGCATGGTCAACGCCTTGATTCTCCTCTCAATTTTTTCGAAGCCAATCAGCTCCATTAGATCTGCGGTATACAGCAGCCCCATAAGGTTGGTATCGTTCCGTTGGCCGACCATTTCAAACCTGGACGCATCAACTGGCAGTTTGTCACCTGGGAGGGTAGGTGGAGGCTGCATCTCGCCATTGTATCCAATATCTTTGGGCCAAAACTTGGGTACACTTTTTGTCTTCATGTACAAGATACCTGTCTCTTTGGGACCTAGGAACCACTTGTGACTCCCTCCGCAGTAGCTGTCACAGTCGATGCTTTTGAGGTCGTGCTTGAATGCACCCCAGCTTTGTGCCCCATCCAAATGGACATGAACATCCTTGTTTTGCTCGTGGATCTTAGCGATCAGGGACTTGGCCGGCAGGCGCATACCGCTCAAGTGAGACACCTAGATTTAAAAAAGAAACATAACCATTTAAAATTGTTTTGTTTCATTCGGTACTTTCCAAAATTTTTTCCGCAAAGTCAGTCAAATTGATGCATTCAATTAGGAATCAACTCGTTGAGACGGACGGGAAAAGAAAATGGTTTTCTGTTGTTTCAATTGCTTGGGAACATTTAAAGAAAGACACTTGTAAAAAAGAGAGTATAGCTAAAAGGCTTAAGCTCTTTCCCTCACAATATAAAGCGAGAAATTTTGTCGCCGTGTATGGTCATTTTCTTGGCTAATATTTCTGATTAAAATAATCGTACTCTAAGAACTCATAAAGGAAGCGTGAGTAACGTCAACAGCTGAGGGTCGACAATTCTATAAGCCCAAACAAAATACCTCTAATTAGGTCAATATGCAATGGCGCTAGTGTGCCCTTAAAAATATCTTTAGAATTTTTAAAATACCTGCATATAAAGTTTTCAGTCAGACGCGTGGGTGACATTTTTTATCATTCGAATAGATTGCGCACGTTTTTTATCCATGAAACCCAAAATCTCCGACACAACAGAAAAGTTTAAAACTGCTATTAAATCAGTCCATCATCTTTGCTCAGGTGAGTTGTCACAAGTTGTCTAAATTAGACTATTACGCTATAAAATAGTTGCCAAACTGTCGGTTAGTGCATATAGAAACAAACAAACAATTAGCACGAAAGCGCTATTCGACTGTTGTTTAATAAGATCCTAGAGTAACAAACAAGATCTTTAGTTTTCGCAGTAAAAAGCAGTTTCTGAATCTACAATTTAGATTCTCTGTGTCACGAAAATGTCGGTCGTTTCTGTTACTTAAATCCTTAACTCGACAGTCCTCCATAAGGGCGAAATAAGCTGCGATAAGAGAATATCAGCGGTAGAGAATATAAATAATTAACAACGATTGGTAACCAAACCGAATGGCTTCCAAAAACAGATCGACAGCCTCTTTTAACGGTGAGTTCATAGAAAGCTAAGCTGGTAAAGTATTCTTATTCTTCTGCGAGCTTACGGACACACCCTACTGGAGCTTATCTCAATTTCATCAGAATGAAACGACAAGGAGAATTGTTACTCTCCTTCCTGGATTGAACGACAGTCCATGGCAGGTTATTTTGTCAGATTTTCCTGCTGACAGCTCATCGGTACCCATCCATGCTTCTGGACGGATTTCTCGCTTAAGAACATAATACAATGACCAGTAATTAAATGGATACATCTACTTTAAAATGACTCAAAGAAAAAGGTACCTCGCTGAACGTCACTATACGAGTGTGCTCGTTCACTTTGGCTAGGAACTTCTCAATAATCTTTTCCTCATTTGTTTCCCCTTCTAAGTCGAGTACGACAATGTTGATGTTAGGGAAGCGTTCCTTACGGATCTTCCATGCTACGTCGCCATTTGTGGGATGATTCTCGTTCCATACCACGACTTCATCTCCGGGTTCGAAATCCATACCGTTATTGATGACTGCATTAGGGTCGGAGCCATTCCTCATAAATGCGATAAGTTTTGGGTCGACATTCAGCTGCTTAGCTATGAGCTCTCTCGCTGCTTGGATAGTGTACACGTAAGGCTGGATCCGCTTCTGGATGGAAATATCTCGGTTCCAATCCAACGCCATGGCGTTCATGAGACGTTGAACTGCATCGAAGGTAATGGAAAGGTTGGCTGCGTTAATAGGGACTGTGTCGGCGTAGTCGTCGAAATCGAACATGCTCCGCACAAACCTCCAAAGCTCGTCTTCATCTTGGCAAGTAACGAGAGTGTTGACAATTTCATCGTAGGTTTTCTGGAAGGTAATAAAGGTCTCCCGAGAGATTAGCGCGTGAGAACGATACAAAAATGCCACCTTAAAGGTGGGGCGGTCCTGCGGGGTTATAGCCTTGAATCTGCTCATGTTTGCACAGCTATCTCGAGGTTGCAACGTTTGAGGGTTCTGTCGCTGAACTAACACAATGCTTACGTGATCTAGGAATTTATACAAGCGTCTAGCTACAGACTCACACGGTCACAGCTGTCTGGATTTTAACGAGTAAACCTTTGTTTAATTGTTCTGAGTGAATTGACTAATCTCATGTCATGCCTATATTTGGTCACGGATGATTGACAGCGGGTTTGTTGGCTTAGCAATTTGGGGCTTTTGTATTTTTACCTCAGCATTTATTTGTAATTAGAACACGATACAAAATAGTACTAGCAGCTAGGAACACCTTTGACACCATGGTACACACCATCAAAAACGAAATTTCGTTTTGATTTTGTCAGTACAGAGTGTGGAGTTTTTTAAAATGGACAGACTTACCAGTGATAATGTAATGTTCAGGTGGTCTATAAATCAGTAGGTCACGTGATAGACTTTAAACATTGTTTTCTGGAAAATAACTGAGTCATATGTAAATAAAGCGTACATAGATTAACCAGTTCAGGGATTCAAGAAAGAAATGTAATTAACGAAGTTTTTACTCCTTTATGTCAAGTGTCGTTTCAAAAAAGTTAGTTTTGGCAGAATTCCATGGTTGTTATCCCCGTTGTTATCCGCGTTGTTTGAAACACTTGCAGATAAATATCGCATAAATAGATGTAAACCCAGTCCTGGTAACGAGAACGCTCGCTCGCACGTTTCCGTCATTCAATTATACAGTTTAACCCCGCTAACACAACTCCCAAGGGGGTTATAGTTGACAGGTTGGTGATGAATTTTAATTATACATATGATGCACGATCCTCGCAGTAGAGAGCGCTGTTTATGTAATAGCGAAAATCAGACCTGAAAAAAATCAGGCCTGTACGGGATTCGAACCACTGACCTCTGCGATAGTAGTGTAGCACTCTACCAATTGAGCTAACAAGCCAACTGGGAGCAGGCCGTTAAGTTGATTCGTAATAGACCCGTGATGATAAATCAGATACAATGTATATATGAAGTTCATATATTTTGAACTGCGGTGTTAGATACGTATGATGCACGATCGTGAATCATACGTATCTAATACCGCANTTCCTACGCCTTCGTCTCGCCAGAGCAATCTTTAGCATTACTGCCTCTCTGAACGCCGCCATGTTGTTTTTGGAAGTTCTCCGCCGATAAAAGTCAATGCAGGCACAAAACGACATCGAAATTATATTCGACGTCTAAAATGAATTGACATTTAATTTCGTCTCCCAGACGAAAAAAATTCATCAATTAAATTCGTCTCATTAAATGCGACGTATAAACCAGGCCTAAGAAAACAATCACGGCCGCCTTTTGAGTCTCGAAAGGTAAAACCGCTGACTTGTCCTCAGTCTCCAGCTCCACTCAGCTGTATTAGGTTTTTTCGTGAATTAAAAGCGGGACTGAAAAAAGTTAATTTCTATTTTATTTTCTCGTAAAAAAAGTAATTTTCCGGGAAAATGCCACTAAAATGCTCGAATAATGCTCAATGCTTTTGCCTCACTAAAATGCTCGAAAAAATGCTAGCATAATGTACAAAAGCCTAGATATGAAGCACGCGGCAAGTTTGGAAAGCACGAAAGATGCGTAAGAATTGCTCGAGGCGTAGCCGAGAGCAACTCTAGCTTCTTGAGTGCTCTCCAAACTTCCCAAGTGCTTCATATCTCGATGAACGCACAGGTGACGTATGAACCAATTGTTTTATAACATTTTCAACGCTGTAGTATATGTATAAAAGGCTGAAATTCCCTCTCCTACACTTCAATGCATTGTTTATTTTGTTTCGAAAAAGTACTTCGCTATACTTCAATAATCTTTTCTCTGATTGGTCAAACGCTGACAGGTGAATTCAAGCGTGGAAATGAAGTTACAGTTGCGAAACGAGATAAAACCGTTGATTGTTCTGTTTTCCCTTTCTCTGGGTTCTTTCTCGGGAGTTAAAAAATTCATTGCCAAAGAAAAAGTAAGCAGCTCTTCATCGGCTTGTTTGCTTATTGCCATATCTAATTTAACTTTTTTCGGAAGTTTTTCCCGTTTTTTAAAGAAAAATGCTGAAGTCGCTCGCGCGAAAAAATTTTTTTCTCGAGATATTTGTTTGCTGATATCATGAGCGTGCACAATAGGAATATGAAGCACGCTCGTGCATTTGAATTTGATTAGACAAATTTACAAGTTATGTTATTATCCTTGTTGAACTGTACAGAGGAGATCAACATTGAGTTGGCGATAGATTATTGACAGCAGGTTTGTTGGCTTGCGCAGTGTTGTATCGTTACACTTACTATTTGTTTGTAATCATAATCATACTGTGTCACTGGAACACCTCTGTCACCAGGATGTTACTAAAACTGGTAACGGGGAACGGAGAACGAGGAACGGGGAACGGGGAACGGGGAACGGGGAACGGGGAACGGGGAACGGGGAACGGGGAACGGGGAACGGGGAACGGGGAACGGGGAACGGGGAACGGGGAACGGGGAACGGGGAACGGGGAACGGGGAACGGGGAACGGGGAACGGGGAACGGGGAACGGGGAACGGGGA